TTTAATTGAGATTAGATTTATTTATTATTAATTGAGATTTATACGAAGATATAGACCGAAATCAAATGATTAGATTGCTAAGTCAAATTTTGTACAAACTTTTTTTTTGGTGAATATAATTTTGGGCTTAATTAACAATTTATTATTTTTAAATCTTAAACCTCACGGAAATAGGTAAAAGATAATCCCAACAAAAAATGAATTAATAACAAAACCTATAAAATAGTATTATATAACTTAGACAGATATTGCAGTATGCCTAATTGATCATTGGTATAAAATGTATTTTTTATTGACTTCAAATTGGTATATATATTTGCATATCCATATATATATCAAACTATTGATTTTGGAATAATCTGTCGAAATAAATACATAAAAAAAAAAGTCATTCCTTGTTAATGAAAAGACCGGTGAGACATTTCTTCCAGCTAGTTAATTAACATCAACACTAGAGCTTTAACAACTTCATAAGTGTGCAAGAAGTATTTTGGAATGTACTACTTTTACCAATAAACTAAAATCATAATTAGGTCAGTTCATCAATTAATAGTCTTGATATATATATGTCTATATAGTTTAGTTCATTTATGCATGTTTAAGCCAATTAGTGATACTAGGAAACAATGAATCTAAAACAAATAAAAGAAAGAAGGAATAAAAAACAATTACTTTAAACTTTAAAGATAAGTGTCTATGTGAATTTAATTGATTATTTTTATTTTTATTTATTTTGGGGGTTAATGAAAAACAATTGTTTTGTTCAATTAGTATTGTACTAATCCCTATATATCAACCCACATATGTGATTTAGCTTTTCATAAATACATTATTTTTATTTATTTTTATCATTTCTTGTTTAGTTAGTGACAAGACATGTCTCTTCTTTAATGACAAATATTTATAAGATAATGTCCTTAAATCAGTTGAGACGTTTGACAAATTCATTTCAATTGTTCTTTATAGCAAATTTTGATTGAAGGAGTCTAAAAATTAAACTTGGAAGCAAATAATACCAATTTCTAAATAAATACATAAACTCTCTAAACTTTTCAGGAGATGTTAAACAAATGATATTCCGCTTATCCATTCGTTTTGAGTAATGGGTTTCGAACTGGTCACTTGCTCATGTTGTAACACACTTCTAACCACTGGACTACTTCGAACATTATTATCATAAAATTTGGCCGAGTATATATATAATGGATTTAGGGCCGCACAAGCTTTGGCCGGCTCTGTATATAGTTTACTTAATTTATTTACATTCGTGTTCAAAAAATCGATAGGTGCTAGTCGCGCGGTGGGGTGGGTCTAGCACCTACCAAGAAAATTGGAAATTAAACGGAGATTAATTGGGGATTAGTTTTAGAGCTATTTAATGTTTTAAAAACATAGTAATCTATTATAATTAAAAAATATATATAATATCGTTTTTAAAATTGCATTAAACTAATGAAAACAAGATTTTCAGCTCAAATTTATGATTTTTATACAAATTACGAATATAAGTAGGACGTTTTAAATTTTAGATTTAAAAAAAAAATTGGGCTAGGCGCCATCTAGGCGGGCTAGGCGGCCTACTTCTTACCGATTTGGACAAAATCGCCGCAGTTTCCCTCCGATCAGTGCCTAGACGGCCGATTTTTAGAACAGGGGTTTAAATCATTAAAATTATAATAAAAAAAATAATCTAAACACATAAATAAATATATTTATATATATATATATATATATATATATTTTAAAAAGAAATCTTTTCTGAAGTTCTAATTTCATCTATCCATCATCTTTTAAACGGTATATAAGGATTATAAAATTAGGAAAAAAAAAACATGTTTGTGACTATTGATTGATAGAGTAACTTAATTAGTATTATAGTTTAAAACGAGAGGCTATTTTTTAACACTAATGAGTGAGTTTTTACTTTCATTTCTGGTTTGTTTATTGACAAGTTCATGTCGTCTATGCTTGTTGATGAGTTTTGTGTTTTCTAACACATACATAGGTTTCTAATATGTCTATTTTTTTATTTTTGGTTATCTCTTAAAATATAATGCAATTCACTTGGCCGTAATTTAATGGATCAATAAGTATATTGAATGTGCAAGTCTCTTAAGCAAATCAATATACAGTCTAATTAAGTGATTTTGTCTTCATTTGTTTTGGACTTTTGACATGTCTAATTAAGTGATTTGTCTTGAGTCACATTAGTCCCAAGTGGTTTAGGTTAAACTTTTGAGTGACAATATATAATTTATGAAATAGTATCATACCTCCTAGATAGTAGTACACAACATGTACTATAGTGATCCACATTTAATTTCTTCTCTTGTTATCATTTTGTTTCTTTATGAAAAAGCTAGTAATTGGGGCCTATCTAATTTCAGGAAAAAAGATTCACCAAAATGACATTTAAAAAAAAAATCATTTCATATGCTTCATTGATTTTCAGATCAATACAACCGATCCAACCTCCTTAGCTTCACGTCTTCTGCGAGCTTCCCAAAAGTACCATTACAAACTGCTAGTACAAAGTTTTGAAACCGAAATCTCCAAAAACACTAGGGATGACATAAATAACAACACAACAATCTTTGATTAAATTTATGACTTAATTGAGATTGATCATATAAATATATAGACTGAAAATTTTTACCTTAACCACTTCGATTTTGTTTGAGATGAGATTTGAAGTGAGAGTTTTAATCATCAACACTCGTTTGGCGTTGACAAACTCTTCCTTCTCGAGCTTGTCATATGACTCCATCATCAAATGTGAGAGTTCCTTCATCAATGCTCCATCCTTCCCCTTCTCCTCTTCAAGCTCACCAAAGCTCATGGTTTTTAAGCTTAGGTTCTCAAGAGTTGTGCTTACTTCTTTGATCATCTCAACCGAATCAACCTTCTTGAGTTTGTTGGTGAGCAGTAAAAACTTTTTCTCCACGAACAACAATCTTTGATTAGATTTATTTAATATTAATTGAGATTCATACGAAGATATAGACTGAAATCACATGATTAGATTGCTAAGTCAAATTTTGTACAAACTTTTTTTTTGGTGAATATAATTTTGTGCTTAATTAACAATTTATTATTTTTAAATTTTAAACCTCACGGAAACTGGTAAAAGATAATCCCAACAAAAAAATGAATTAATAACAAAACCTATAAAATAGTATTATATGACTTAGACAGATACTGCAGTGTGCCTAATTGATCATTGGTATAAAATATATTTTTTATTGACTTCAAATTGGTATATATATTTGCATATCCAGATATATATATATATATATATATATATATCAAACTATTGATTTTGGAATAATCTGTCGAAATAAATACATAAAAAAAAAAGTCATTCCTTGTTAATGAAAAGACCGGTAAGACATTTCTTCCAGCTGGTTAATTAACATCAACACTAGAGCTTTAACAACTTCATAAGTGTGCAAGAAGTATTTTGGAATGTACTACTTTTACCAATAAACTAAAATCATAATTAGGTCAGTTCATCAATTAATAGTCTTGATATATATATGTGTCTATATAGTTTAGTTCATTTATGCATGTGTAAGTCAATTAGTGATACTAGGAAACAATGAATCTAAAACAAATAAAAGAAAGAAAGAATAAAAAAAAAATTACTTTAAACTTTAAAGATAAGTGTCTATGTGAATTTAATTGATTATTTTTATTTTTATTTTTATTTATTTTTGGGGTTAATGAAAAACAACTGTTTTGTTCAATTAGTATTGTACTAATCCCTATATATCAACCCACATATGTGATTTAGCTTTTCATAAATACATAATTTTTATTTATTTTTATCATTTCTTGTTTAGTTAGTGACAAGACATGTCTCTTGTTTAATGACAAATATTTATAAGATAATGTCCTTAAATCAGTTGAGACGTTTGACAAATTCATTTCAATTGTACTTTAGAGCAAATTTTGATTGAAGGAGTCTAAAAATTAAACTTGGAAGCAAATAATACCAATTTCTAAATAAATACATAACTTCTCTAAATTTTTCAGGAGATGTTAAACAAATGATATTCAGCTAAATACATATCTCGTCATATCTTCCTTCACGTAGTTCTCTTTGGGAGTCTCATCCCAAACCCACGCTTCAATTTCTCAATCCTACACCATCAACAAACCAACTAGATTACATAAATTTCTTTCTTGTGAAGAAAGAGCAAGGAACAAATATAGTGATGTAAAAAAGGCTTACGTTGGGGCTAGTTTTCCGAGGCAATCGAGCTTTTCACCGGTGTCTACATCTATGACTCTACCCGTGATGTCAACAATGTATGATCTATCTCTGTCTGGAGGAAGTTCTCTACCCGCAAGCAAGTCCAAATCTTTCCGGTGAAGCTCTCTTCCGTTGACAAACACTCCCGTGGTTCCACTTGAGCTGTTCTCTGGCATTGGGTAGTTAAGCTCTTCTATGAATGGCTGCAACAAAAAGAATTCCTCCTTTTTAGTAAGATTCAGAAACATATTGACAAGAAGCAATATCAAAATGTGTTTACCGGTAATATTCCAAGACCTGGACCTCCCATTACTCCCCAGAATCCAGCTCTGTAATCATACCTAAAATGTCCGCAAAAACACATTAACAAGAGTCACGAAGAAGATGATCTTAAAAAAAAAGTGGAATATTAATTGATATTATATTTTTTTAATATTAATTGAGATTCATACGAAGATATAGACTGAAATCACATGATTAGATTGCTAAGTCAAATTTTGTACAAATTTTTTTTTTGGTGAATATAATTTTGTGTTTAATTAACAATTTATTATTTTTAAATCTTAAACCTCACGGAAATTGGTAAAAGATAATCCCAACAAAAAAATGAATTAATAACAAAACCTATAAAATAGTATTATATAACTTAGACAGATACTACAGTGTGCCTAATTGATCATTGGTATAAAATGTATTTTTTATTGACTTCAAATTGGTATATATATTTGCATATCCAGATATATATATACCAAACTATTGATTTTGGAATAATCTGTCGAAATAAATACATAAAAAAAACGTCATTCCTTGTTAATGGAAAGACCGGTGAGACATTTCTTCCAGCTGGTTAATTAACATCAACACTAGAGCTTTAACAACTTCATAAGTGTGCAAGAAGTATTTTGGAATGTACTACTTTTACCAATAAACTAAAATCATAATTAGGTCAGTTCATCAATTAATAGTCTTGATATATATATATATATATATATATATATATATATATGTGTGTCTATATAGTTTAGTTCATTTATGCATGTTTAAGCTAATTAGTGATACTAGGAAACAATGAATCTAAAACAAATAAAAGAAAGAAAGAATAAAAAAACAATTACTTTAAACTTTAAAGATAAGTGTCTATGTGAATTTAATTGATTATTTTTATTTTTATTTATTTTTGTGGTTAATGAAAAACAATTGTTTTGTTCAATTAGTATTGTACTAATCCCTATATGTCAACCCACATATGTGATTTAGCTTTTCATAAATACATAATTTTTATTTATTTGTATCATTTCTTGTTTAGTTAGTGCACTAAACAAGACATGTCTCTTGTTTAATGACAAATATTTATAAGATAATGTCCCGGTCCAAATGAACTTGAAGAAAAATTATAAAATGTTACACCCATTTAAACCCTATTCCTAACTGGTCTAAACAATAATAATCGGGTAGCCCATTTATTTATTTTTTCGGAATTCTTTATGCCCAAAACGATGACGTTATAGTTTAGTTCTTGTTTTTCGTAGTTTCTCAGTTCATCCTCATTCTCAACTTCAAACCAAATTTCGGTGTGGCTCTGCTTTACTCCAGCGAAACTCTGCTCTAATCCCGACGAATCTCTATTCTAATCCCGACGAATCTCTATTCTAATCCCGACGAAGCTCTGTTTTAATCTTTCTAATTTTTATCGCAATCAATAGATTTAAGTGAGTTTTCTTCATTTTGTTTGATCCATAGAGTCTTTGTTGGGTTTTCAATTTGTTCTTAGTTTTAAGATTTTGTAGTTTTGTTGAATTGGATTAAATAGGATTCGCGGATAAGTGCATTGAAGATGTTGGTTTTGTTTCATATCATTGAGATTGTTCTAGGTTTTCAAAATTTTCTTCTGGTCTAGGTTTTCAAAATTTTCTTTTTGACATTTCATGGATGCTAGTATATCATGTTTCTTTTGATTAAAAAGCTAAGATATGACACGATGGTTTTATTTTTCCGCTTATCCATTCGTTTTGATATATAGTATATGTGTTATATCATTTATCTTAAGTCATGAAACTTTAGGCGTTTGTACCAGTTCTTTTATTTGATATATGAGCTTGCCTATCTTAGTATCTTGCTTAACCAGTACTAAGGAGCTGAAGGCTTAACATTTTTATTTGTTTATTATTTTGCAGAATGGATTTACAGTCTCCATATACACTAGAAATGCTCAATGCTCCGAGTCA